TGGAAATCTGGTTATAATTTAGGTGGTAGGAATGTTGAAGTTCCGTTCGGGTCACGAACCACGCACGTCCACAGATGAAAAATCCGCAAACGCAGTACATACACTAATAACACTAAAAGAATTTTAAAGCGTCAAAATCCATATTGCTTCAACTCTGTTTTTCGAAAGCTCCGAAAAACTGCGACATTTCGCGCGGCTGCCAACATTTTTCTCATAAGCGCTAAATATTTCTGCAAGGATTTTTCATTCGGCGAAGTAGGTTACGAAATAAAACGTGCATCCAAATGTGGAGTGTAAGAGATTTTCATGCAAAATTCTCTTTCGCCGAGGCTAATAAGACAAAGTTACAAATTCTTACATTTAAGCATGAGATTTTTATTTGTAAAATTTTAGGAAAGTAAAGAACAAAGGTGCAAGTACTGTAGTATTTCCACATGAAATTTCTGATTAATAATTAACATCTATTAAAATAAAACACTTTAATGGTTTAAAACGCGATATATATATCAGTTAAACTTATTGGAAAATTATTTTAACCACGTTCCGACATCAAATAAGTTTAACTAATATATATCGCGTTTTAAACAGATAAAGTGTTTTATTTAAATGTGTACCTGCGTAAGCTCCAGACAGTATTTAATCAAAAATCTACTTGGCTATATTTTTACGACACGGTAGTTCACTGTGGATGCCGGTTCAATCATTCGTATCGTATTTCTTCTCGTATTTTATTTATTTATCTATTTAGATTTTTAATCGTATCTTTTAAATTGACGTAACACACACGTACACTCTCACTCGGCACCCTTATTAACAACACCAGGGCCAACGTACGACCAACAATTACAGCTTCGCTAATAGCACTTTTACTATGCAAATCACTCATGATGCGTCCGCGAAACGACAAAAATTAAATAATAGAATTTTAGAAAGTGAGGTTCAACGACCTTTGCGTATAACTGAAGATAACGTTGATAAACGTAACATGCATGGCGGCATGCTAATCAAGAATTCGACGTTTTTCAATACATTTAAAAGTAACATAATGTGTCTATTTTTTTAATGATAGAGGAGGTAGGTGATATACCCCAGCTTATAGCATCTAAACAAGATGCGCTGTCGCCCTATTTTGGCTTTGGATATTCGGAAATCCACAGACTGAAACCGAAACGCGTTTAAGCGGCTTTTTCATGTGTCGACGGCAGTTCGTGGCCTGGGCGGAATTTTCAATATTCCTACCACCATGTCCAGATTTCTAGACGAAGTCCGATGTTGGATCCGGCGGGGTTCGAACCAATGTCCCGATTATTAACCAAACATTGCTACCATAAGTATGTATATTTTTCACTCTGACGCTTAGAATAGTGGACCAATTTTAATTAACAAAGTATCCAACGACTCGTAATAACATATGCATATAAAAAAACACACCGAAAGGACAACTGTCAGCCTGTATTAATGTATTCAGTTTAAAGTAATTTTATCGAAAATTAATATTTTTCACATGATAGTGATATTAAAAGAATACGACACGGGCGGGACGTGAACCGTGGCCAACACGGTGGCTCAATTGGTGAGATCAGCATCATAATAATGTATCTAAGAATTACTTAATTCGTTCAAGATATTCACCGCTTATTTAAACTTATGCACTTGAAAGACTGGCTTCTTCGTCTAATGGTGGCAATATGTGTGGCTAATAATCAATGGGTCGTGGATTCAATCCCTAGCGGGTCCAGCTAATTTTATTTTATTTTCAGGTTATATATAGCTTGAGTATTTCACCTTGCAAGTGAACCTCACGCTTATGTGTCGTCGGCTTTTATAAAAAATATTAAAACAAATGAAAGTCACGTTTCGAAGCTCCATCTCAGTATTCCTTTCGTACAAAGTATGAATGCAATAGTAACGAAGTCCAGAAGTTTCCAAGAGCTCTCGGTTGATTGCAGTGGAGCAGAGCATAATGAGTTTTACCTGGACCGGCAACAGAAAGTTGAGGTAAGTATTTTTACATCGACTTTTCTGTTATAACCATAAGAAATGTGACTTAGTTCCTAAATATAATAAGCAAAGATGAAAATACGGTTTAAACCGAAATAGAAAATTAAAACAATAATAAAACTTCGAAATAAAACACTTTAACGGTTTAAGACGCGATATATATTAGTTAAACATGTTTAAGAATTATTTTAACTACGGTCCGACGTCGCGGATGTTTTGCAGCAGCCGTGATCACGGGGGAGACACACAGACAATATTTAATAATGAAGCTATAGACACAAACTCTTTATTTTTTTTTTTCAATATTCCCCTTATTCAGCTAGCTTTTCTTTAATAAGGTTTAAGGTACTATAAACCATTATATAAGCTTTTGAAAATGTAATATCATAATTGGACAACAAACAATTAAAAAACCTAACTTATTTTGTGTAAGACTGAACAGTTGGTATCTAGATTGGTGGTACGTCTTAATTATTTAATAAAAAAATAACACCGGTGGAAATAGAATCAGCGACCCGTGCGCTTGCTGCAATAATCGCTAAGTAATAGAGAGCGACCAAGACACCATGAAAATATTTCAATACAAATACCTACTGTCTGTAGTTTACGCGAGTAGTACACATTTAAGTAAAACACTTTGACGGTTTAAAACGCGATATATATCAGTCTGCTTGTGGCCACAGCTGCTGCAAAGCACCCGAAACGTCGGGCCGTAGTTAAAATAATTTTCAAATAAGTTTAACTAATATATATCGCGTTTTAAACCGTTGACGTGTTTTATTTAAATACAGTTATACCGCAAAACGAAAATTTCAAAATGAATTCAATATTCCACACACACCAGGACCTGACGTCGACATAATTTTAATGGCTTAAGGAAGTCGGGAATATTGATCGTCGGAGGCGCGGTGTGGGACTCTTTGTGAAAAGAGCCCATACACGAGGGTTAAAGAAATTATAATATGATACAATACACGTTATATGTGAGAAAAATTTGACACTAAATCCAATGCAGGTAAACAAGTATGAACTATTAATACTTAGAGGTGACTAAAAAAATATTATGTAATTAAAAACGATGCGCTATCGACCTATTTCGTCTATTAAGATTCGGAAATCTACATACTGAAACCAGCGTTTTGTAGCTTTTCTACGTATAAGAAACTAGGTGTGCCCGCGACTTCGTCCGCGTGGAATAGTGACTTTGGGTAGAATTTTTTATTATTTAGGCTGTTTATTTATTTATAAAAGGGCGCAATCAAGGCAGTCAATCTATGTGATAAGTGATACTTTGCCGCAACACTCCCACTCTGACCTCACATCACTCGTACTCTAACTCTCACTCCCACTCTCATTCCCAAAAAGCCAAAGAAGAAAGTTTCATTGTTCTAGCTTCAAAATTACGAATACCATACTAACTTTCATTTCCCTTTTCAACCCCTAACAAACCTTTTTGGCGTTAAAAAGTAGCCTATGTCCTTTCTCAGGATTTCTAGAATATCTGTGTACCAAATTCTATAAATCGGTTCAGTAGTATCGGCATTAAAGCCGGACAGACAGACAGAGTTACTTTCGCTTTTTTAATATTAGTATTGATAGTATATATTAATTTAGAAACACGTTAGGTCGAGATCGAACCCACGGCCCGTTGTATATTAGCCATAGTGCTATTAGATTAACGAGCTCCAACAGATTTATTTACTCGTAATTTAGCTTATTACGATTGTAGTAAGTAAAGATATTGTCTAGAATTGTTAGAGTGCCCTTTACTCTTAAATATCAAATGATTAAAATAGATAGCCATACAAGGCCATGTCCGTTCCGACCCTCTATCTACGGCATTACTATAACTAGCTGTGCCTGCAACTTTGTCCGCGTATAAAGTTACTTAGGGCATCATTTTTTTTTCTCAAACAACCTTTTTTTACCTTTATAAATTATGTCTAATAACCACGACGCGCGTCGTCCGCGTCCCGTCGCGTAGTTCAAGCGAGTTAATATTAAAAGGTAGCCATACTGTCGCAGACATGTTTTTAGAATACATATTTAAAGAGGAATCATTTAATTTCTTTTTTCGTTTTCTTGAATCGTTTTTTCAGCGCAGGCATCGAAAGCCTTGAAAGATACGAACGGAAAATAGCCATACCTTGCTATCATGGACCAATGCGCTACTCAAACCTAAGATACAAGTATACCTAAGGCAACAGAAGTGTAGCTAGCGCGAAAATAATAACCTCATTCCACTTGTTCTCAAGAAGAAGAAAGAGCATCTCAGGATATGGCGGTGTACATTACGGAGACAATGATGGTGATTAAAGCTGGAATAATATGCTTCAAATCTTTTCATAGTGTGGTTGTAAGATTATAAACATATGTATATCTATAGGTAAAATACAAAAATTTACCCCTTTTTTTTACTAACTTTAAACCGTCGTGTTTTGTTTTCAAATTCTGTTTCTTTGGAACTTCGACACAGATTGTGCGTTTTCGTGATGGAATTTATTTACAGGATGTATTTATATAAAATACTTTTAACGGATATTTATATAAAATATTTTTAACGGAAAACGCAAGATATCGGTTTAAAACGCGAGATATATTAGTTATTACACTTCTTTAACTTATATGATTTTTTTAAGTACGGCCCGACGTTTCGGACGCTTTGCAGCAGCCGTGGTTACGGTCAAATAAGCTTCGCTAATATATGTCGCGCCTTAAACCGTTAAAAGTGTTTCATTTAAATGTGTACTACTCAAGTGAACTACAGACTGCTGTAGAAAAGAGAAGTTGACTTCTCTTTCAAGTTCACTAATATATTTCGCTTTCAAACCGTTAAAATTGTTTTATTCTGGGTTATTTCACCTATCATTATGCGAACCCCACGCTTATGTCTTGCTCTTTTGTTAAAAGTAAATCTACAGTAGATTTACTTTTACAATACGTTTTGAATTAAATTCTCCGACTATCTACATAATAGAAGCTTGAAACAATATTTACTCTTAAATAAGCTCAATGAGTCGTGTTCCATAATAGTTGGGAACATAGCGAAGAGACTTCATCCACGAGAAAGGACCTTCTGACGTCAACTTAGCCATAGAGTCATGATGAACAATGGGGTAATAGGCGCTGGTGTTGTGTGGTTTAAGTTATAAGATATGGCGAATACGCTACCCACGCAAACTTTAAATATTGTGTGTAGATTCCGCGAGTAGAACACATTTAAAGAAAAAACTTTAACGGTTTAAAACTCGATGTATATTAGTTGAACTTGTTCGAAAATTATTTTTACTAAGGCCCGGCTTTTTGGATGCTTTGTAGCAGCCGTGGTCAGGGAGAGACTAAAGATGGAGGGTGTCTCTGACGTTAAAGTAGAAAACTGCTAGCCATCTGTTCCCTCGAACCAAATACCAACTTCGACAGAACAGATGGCGCTAGGGATAAAGCGATAAATATAAAGATTGTTAGTGTGTATTTTTATTGCTTTCGGGTCAAACTGGTTCATTAATGGTGCTGGAAGTACTCGAATTATCATCTAAAACCACAAAATAATTTCCCTTAGTTTGAATATATTTTGGGTTGCCTAAAACGAATGACATTGGTCGCTACAAAAACTGAGTGTACGAGGGATTCGTGTTGATGGACCCATATAGGTACAAGAAACAAACAAAACTAATCTCGCCTTATTCTTCAGAGTGAGATTTGGACATCTAACTTCCTCCGAGATAGGAGAATGATGTTACCAGTCAATGTTTAAAAAAATCTAAACTGCATTTAATCAATACAACGAAAGGAAGCAAACGATAGCTCATATCGTTTGCAGACAGCTGCAACTCCTGAAAAAGCATACTAATGGCTCGCCTGATAAAATCGATGAAAAGTTTCGATATAATTTATCCACGTCCGCTTCGTGAAGTTTTTAAGTGTGTCCGAGAATGAGTATGTATACGAGAAAAACCGGAAAATATTTTGCGGTTCACAAATATTTATGTATTAATTTCTCGAAATTTGTCTAATCATGAGATATAATATAAATTTTCACACGTTAACGAATACAAGTAACAATCTACTTATTATTGATAAAGGCTCCCTGACGATGTAACGCGTTACGTAACAAAGCGTACGTACGTACTTACTTTACGTAGAAAAGTTAATTAGGCCTTGCACATAAAACTACCACTTCAAAATAATGCTTTTTTTATCAATTACATTAAAAAAACAAATGAATGATTCAAGTTTCCGAATTAATAAAATAAATGGTAAGTATGTGTATCATGTGAACATGGTATTATATCGTAGAAGAATATAATTAAACACTTTCTGTAGTTTACGCGAGTAGTACACATTTAAATAAAACACTTTGACGGATTAAACCCCGATATATATTAGTTAAAGTTATTTGAGAACTATTTTAACTACAGACCGACGTTTTGGAGATTTTCGTTCTGGACTTCGCGTTTGCTGTTATACTGTTTATTGCCGAAACGTCGGGCTGTACTTAAAATAATTTTAAAATAAGTTTACCTAATATATATCGCGTTTTAGTCCGTTAAAGTGTTTTATTTAAATAAGAATATAGTTTAAAAATCGAAAATAAAATGAAAAAAATTTCGACTCGGGCAGGACTTGAACCGGCATCGTCAGCTTTCCGTGCTGTTGCTCTGGAAAAACGGAAAGCTGACGGTGCCGGTTCAAGTCCTGCCCGAGTCGAAAATTTTTTCATTTTATTTTCGATTTTTAAATTATATAGTGCCTTCATGTGCAATAACATGTGAAAAAATATTAATGTTTTCAAGAATATCGTACATAAACAGACGACATCCCGTCACTAACATCATTACAAAGCGTAATAAGGAAAATTTCCCATTACGATAATGTCAAACTTGTACCACAAACAGAACGGAGAGGATCCGACGAACTGACGAGGCTTTGAAAGGACGAAAGACGAAGGCACTCTTTGTTTGCACGGAAGTGTTTTTATATACGTAGATAATGTATATGTGTGTTTTTGGAAACAACGCGTCAGTTTTTGGAACGTATAGGAGGGTGCTCGGTTACTTAAATAGTGAAAAGGCACTTATGTGTTGGAACGGTAATGAACTGTGTATTTTGGGGAAATTCGCATTTTTCCGCAAAGATTTTGCGTTCCTTCTGCTATTTTATATTGTAATGGTAACATTGTGGAGTACATTTCTTTTTTGACGTATATATAACGAAATTTTTGACTCTTCGTGTCGTCATGTCGGTGGTTAAGTTATTTCATGTTTAGGGTAGATTCGTAGATAGCTGTAAGTTATTTTCAATAATCAGTTATTCTTTGGATTCCGCGTTTAATTAATGTGTCACTTATATTATGTTTGTAAAATGAGTTATCATTGTAAATAGTGTTGAGTCTGAATAAACGTTTCTCTATTTCTGTTTTATTTGTAAACTCGTTTTACATTTTTACAGTAGCAAATATTGGTAAAGTAGAATATACACTATTACCTGTAGTAACACTACAATCTTTTTTACAGCTTTAAACGCAAGATATACTAATGAATAAGTTTTAACTACGACCCGAAAACTGTCCCGCACGATCACAGCAAAGCATCCGAAACGTCGGGTTGCAGTTAAAAACTATTTAAATATTTTTTATATACTTTGCGTTTAGAACCGTTTTTTATTTAGTTGGCTATGACATAAAATAAGGGCTTTTTCTATTACTTAGGATAATCAAATGTATGTAATATAGAATAATGGTACCCTATTGTTCTCTTATGCTCGCGGAAAACGTATATAGTAGATAGTAGTAATTTGTACTTGTATTTGCACTGCTTCAAACGTTGTGTAGTGCGTTAACCAGATAGGTTTATTGAAAAACATCAACTGAAATGTGGAGGAACTTTTCATTTGAACCAAATTTCCGGTCGCAATTCAAAACCACATTCAAAACATTAAAATTAAATGTTTAAAAAAAAGAGCGAGAAACCAAAAGTTTGCTAATCACTCACCTGTCATCTTGCAAGTGTTTCAATTCGCTCAACTCCAACTCCCTTCGAAGGTTAGAGACCTCACACAGCAGCATATCCCGCTCCGTCGCCACCTTCTCAAGTTCGGCGCGTAACCGCACCACTTCATTAGTCAAATCCATCGTCGCCATTTTTACTGTCGATATCTTCTATCGACACACCACATCACTTATCAATCGTAGGCGGAACGTTCGAACCAATCACACGCGCGCATTTTGAATATAGAACACGTTGAACTGACGACTCTAGTAATGGGCGAGTTGAATATCGATGAAACCCACACTTCACTATATTCGAGTCGCGTAGACTACATTTTCAGCATCTGAAACAATAAATCATTCCATTAGGAATGCTAGAGATGAAAATCGCTTATTCGGTATGAGAATTCGGAATATTTTGTTCATAAACTACTCGCACTGGCTATGAAGTCGCGAGTATGGCTGCTATGTTAATGCAGGGAATAAATAACGGATATTGTTCTCTTTTATTGGATGCTCCACAAAAATATGCCGCCTGGCAACACAGTATATGTGATATTAATGTAGGATTGTACTGCGATTTATATGGGACAATTGGCGGAAAAAGGCTAAATTTTTATTACATCAAATTCAGCCAATAAAATGCCAAAAGATCAGTATAGAATTATAATTCTCCATTCTGTATGTTTAAAATATATTTTAAACATCTTACCAATTTAATGAAAACATTTTTCAGAAGTAATCAAATTTGAGTTCACGGGACGAAATCGTTTGTTATCCGAGATCAAAGGTAAGTTTTTTGAAGCACACAGTACTAAGTATTGCCTATATAAATTATAATCAATAAGGTATTGATTATAATGTAAACTGATAATTACCATTATTAAAAATAACTAAGTTTCAACTTATTTTATTTTCGCACAAGACTAATCCTAGACTTTCTGATAAATAAGACAAACCACTAAACCAACGAGGCAGTACGGACAATTTACTTCAATCTACTGGAATCTCGCTTACTACAAATAGCAATTAGTGGACAAACACTACAAGCACTGGAGTTCAGCAGAAACACTTCAAATAGTTTCCCCGAAGGGAGCCGTTAGCTCTCTTTTTTAATCTATTAAGCGAAAACCCACAATGGATTGCTCGTTATTGCTACAAATTGATTTATTTGTAAGTCAAAATAATATAGAGCATGACTATTTATAATAAGATTATAAAGGTAAATGGTTTAAAACACAGAACCTAGTAATTCGAATTGGAAAATTCTTTGTGCGTTGATAGACCATTATTTGAGAAGGCTTTAAGGCTATATAACATTACGCTGCAAGTAATAGGAGAAAGGAGGAACTCATAATCTCTAAGGGCTTCCGTTGCGTTTGCGAAATTGATAAAAAAAAATATGAAACCCTTTATCTGATCTAAAAACTGGACAGGAGGTATATGTCTATCTTTTTTATGTTAATTATTTGTTACAGATATATAAACACAACTAAGTTTTGTTCCACACATAGGTATTATAATAAATCCAACTTATATGCCCAAGAAATAAACGACATAAGAGCCATTACTTGTTTATTCTATTTTTTACAGAAATATATTTATAATAGTATAGGTAAGGCGGAGTTTCCGGGATAGAAAATGAAGGACCTCATTACTGTGCATGCCTTTATTTTAACCAACTTGAACTAGGTCAAATGATGTGAAAATCCCGGAATGTTCTGATTTTTACTTCGAAGCTAGAAGATTTTGCATAAACTAAGCAGTTTACCCTATACGTTATTCTGAGTGTTTCCTGTTTTAATATAAGCAATTGTTTAATTAATAAAATTAATAATTTACGCCTCATATATTATCCATTAATTTATAATTTTATTAAAACATGTTGCTTTTTTTCCCAAAAATCTGGATAAGAAATAGGTAGGCATATCGAAGTTCCGTGCGGATTACGAACCACCGTCCACAGATGCAAAGGCGTCAAGTTTATTTGCGTTTCGATTTCAGTCTGTGGATTTCCAAACCCAAAATAGGTCGACAGCTTAAACCATGGCGGAAATAATTAGACTTATCAAAAGGCCCCTAAATTATTACTTAAAGACGATAACAAAGTATTAAGGTGGCGCTTATACCTTCAACCGCTGTTAATGAAATCATAAATTGATTAAAATCACGACTCCATTGGCTAAATAGCCGGTCTTAATCGTTTTGTGAGGCGATATTGTCATGAAACGTCAAAACAGTTTTTGTAATCCGTGACCGCATTTAATAAAATATTATTCGAAAACGTGATAGAAAAAATATAATACGTACTTTATAGTACATACATGGGCTACTAAATAAGGAATAAAAATAACCTTTACTATTTATAAAGGCGCCATCTAGGTGTGATACGCGAAACAGAGACTGAATTAAGATGCGTGGGCGCACCGGACTATAGAATCACTCGCAATACGCCAGATGACAGTAATGGCGATGACATCGCAAATGATTTTGATTAATTAAATTCGGCAGTTTCGACTATCAGCTGCTAAGATATAAAAGAAATTAAATATGTATGAGAAAGCTTTTTATGAAACTTCTTAAATATTTTATGAGTGAATTGTAATGAGATAAATAGTACAGCAATTCAAAATAAAATGGTGTAAGCAATTTCTGTTCTGCTTTTCTGATTTTTACAATCATATGATACAACTTACAACATATTATGTGTCTACAAACAAGGTATATCGTTCTCAGAACGCCTAGAAAACTTTTGCTGACATGAAATCCTTGAAATCGGATCGTAACAAGCAATTCACACGGTTCATTATGACATTAAGTTGGAAATTGTCGTTAAGTAGATTTCAAATAACACTTTTAACGGTTTAAAAGGCGAAACACATTAAGTAATTTATTTTTTATTTAATTTTAAGACGTTTCTTTGTATCAGCCGGGGGGTAAGATGGAGGGTCTCTAATCAAGGAGCCCAGAGTCAAATCTGCTACGCTAGTGCCATCTGTTTTGTCGTAGTTGGTAGGAGAAAGTGGCTGGGTCCTTACAGAACTGACACACGGAACGGCTGCTGCAAAGCATTTCGATAGCAGTCGCCGAACAGCACCAAGGCGACGAAACGAGACCTTTATTTATCTATATAATTTTTTAAAGGAAAACTGTCAGTGAACAGAATATACGTTATAAAAAATAGAGAGCTAATTAGGTCACTGATTTACAAGTTCATTGTAAATAAGTGACCCTACGCGATTGAAACGTTAATATTTTTCACATATCTACATTCATACATTGCACATGATGGCACTATATCAATTAAAAATCGTGTTAAAAGTGTTTAACTTATATGTGCACAAATCGCGTAAACTACCGACAGTATAAAACTAGATTTTATCACTTACTATAGTTGTTTATTATGAACATCAGATTGTAGTTTTTCATGGCCTGGTCACGACGGAATATACGATTCGCACGGGCAAATTCTGACAATTATAAATCAAAACTAAAGCGCAATTAGAGAGCACTTGAAAATGCATTAAAATCGTCCGTTTCACGGCTATACACCATTAATCTCTTCCCCCCTCCCCCTTTAACGTAAACAGTCTGAGCTAACCGAACAGGCGAGCGATTGTTCGAAGATTTTATAGTTTCGCTGAAACGTTGAAGAGAATTGAAAGTGGAAATTGATACAGTTTTCGTGATGAGGGAAAAGAGGAGAAAGTGGAGTTTATCCTTTATTCTATTTGGTAAATAATTTAATCGAAACCACAAATTTTTTATATGATTCCATCTATTAAGTAGTAAACCGATTTTAATGACTTTTGACGGTATAAAACGCGAAATATTTTAGTTAACTTATTTACAATTTTATTTGCCTACGGCCCGACGCTTCAAACGCTTTGCAGCTATGCTCACGGTAAGGTTTAAACGAATTAGAAATAAGTTGACTAATATATAACGTGTTTTAAACAGTTTCAAGTGTTTTTATTTATTCAAATTTCAACTAACTTAAGGCTAGTGGAATAATTTATATATAAAATGCAATGTCGGTCACTATACGTTGAAATTACAATAAAAAACGAATAAAACAGATTACGACTTCGCGGAGAAGTATTCAAGAACGTAGCAAGAATTTTAAATGCTGGAATCGTTATGACTTAGTTATTGTGTAATTTTAGTCATTTGTATGTGGTTTTAAAAAGTAGCTCTGTGGCGGTAGTAGTAGATTTAATTATGACAATTATCGCCTTCGCTTTTACTAAAATAAATAGAGTGTTTACTTTGTTGTGACTCGAAATGTTTTAGATCAACTTATTTAAAAAAATATTTTAAGTACGGATGCAGCAGCCGGGGGGAGAGTGATATCTACCAATATATATCACGTTTTAAACCGTTAAAGTGTTTTTAAATGTGTACTACTCGCGTATTATTGTGTATTAGGTCTATTAAAGTATTTTCGTGGTGTCTTGGTCGAGCTCTCTATTACTTAGCGATTATTGCAGACAGTGCACGGGTCGCTGATGCCATTTCCACCAGTGTTATTTTTAAATAATTGAGACGATCATCAATCTAGATACTAACTGTTCAGTGTTACACATCACAATGTGTTTATTAAAATTAATTAACTTACTAACAAAAAGCAGCAAACCGCTGTTGGTTTAAAACTTTCTGTTTAAAGCTATTTTAGTATTTCCAGCATTTGGAATGTGGAGCGGAGTAAAAGCCGATACACGTGTCGAGATAAAACTTATTAACGCGTATTCCATTGATATGATTTTAACTTTGATTGCCTTTTGTTTCTCGTGTTATAAACGAAAATGTATATACTTAAATAAAATATTTCGTAACGTTTCTACTAAAATTATTAACGACTAGCTGTGCCAGCGACTTCGTTCGTAGAAGAGTTATATTTGGCGGCAAAAAAATTGGTTTTTGCAAACCTTTATACATTATAGCTGTTACCCGCGACGTTGGTCCAGTCCTGTCGTTCTTGCAAGTTAATCTAATCTTGCCGTTTGCTTCTAACGCAAAAATATTTTTTAAATTCGAAGCAGTAGTTCATTAGATTAGCGCGTGCTAACAAACATACAAACTCTTCGGCTTTATATATATTAGTATAGATGTACATGAATAAAATATTTAATAACTATTCTACTAAAATTGTA